TACTTTTATAGACAAATGAATACTCATCTTATAAATAATAATATATCAATATCTTATATACATAAGTGATACATAAATAAATATTAAATTTATTTAAAAAAGTATTAAATTATTTATATTATAAAATATAGAAGCTTAATTAAAAACCTACAGTAAAATTGAGACCTAACGGGCAAAAGTTTTGCCCTTTTTTTTCTTCGACTTGTTGTCCTTTTTCGACTTCAGGTGGGAACATTAAGCCGATATTATAAAGATCGGAGACTTCTTTTTTTTTTTTAATGGTACGATTAGAGTCATCTTTTCACTTTTTTAACTTTTAAGGATGAGATTGGAGACATCTTTCTTTTTGGATGGCTGGGGTTATTGGGTGAGAAAATCTTAAATTAATTATAAAAATAAAAAATTTATAGGTTAAATATAAAAAGGATTAATTTACCTATTGTTAATTTGAATTTGTTTTAGATTGTATATAAATTTTGTATTAAATCTACATGTATAATTTTTTAATATGATATGAGAGTCAAAATTTTATCTTAAAAAACCTGTTGTTATTCATAGTGGGTTTGTATATGAAAGGACGTGTTAAATAAAAAAATTCCTTAAATACAAAAAGAGTTATTTTACCTATTATCAATTGATTTTAAATTGAATACAAGTCTTATATTTAACCTAAATACACGATTTTCAGGGAGATCTTCAGACGTTTAGAAAATGACCCATTTGACATTTTCAAAGGGACAGAGATTGGAAACTCAAAAAAATGTAAGACCTATTTGAGAAAGGAAACTTTTAAAATGACCTTTTTGTCCCAGGACTTTTTAAGCGTGAAATTAGCTTTTCTCATGTTACTTAAGTTGCTGAACTCCATGAGTTTTAAGGCTTTAACACCAATTTAATGATGAAAACTCATGTACCCGGTACCCTTTGTCCAAAATTAATTTGTAGGATTTGCAGGAAGAACACTAGCCAGTATGGAAGCTGTAGAGTCCTTTGGCCTAGCGTTTCTCAGTAATAACTAATAAGGTCATATACTAGGAACTATACTTGTATAATTTAAGATGCTTGCTTGAAAGAGGGCGTGTACAGATTCAACTTATAGTGTAGTTTACTTGGTTTGAAACTTGTTATCTACTTGATTTATTCTTGTAGCCAAAATGTGATATATATTCAATTTGCATATTGAAACTAAAATGGAACATTTTTGTAATTATTCTCATGCATATCTGGAAAAGAATATATAATTATATATTCTGTTTTAATTCTGATAAATATTTGATCTTCCGTTGGAAATCATTTACATGTTGCATTTAGATTTGAGATATAATAATAGACACAAGAATTACATCTGATGCCTCCTACATAATGATATACACACACTACATCAGGCAACTATTCCACCAGGGGGAATAAGTAATTTTCTAAAGTGTAGAAAAACGGGCCCTTTTTGTCATCGCTAGGAAATTGCCCATGCATGTTAGGAAACACAAGGAGGTCAATACCAGAGGATCTAATTACTTAACCTCTCTAGGTGGTCTATATGAAGCGTGAATTCTTGACCGGTTAGCAGGAGAAAAAACAAGTATACAGAAGCGCTACTCACTCTTCCCACCTTCGTTTCTCTTATCTCTGCTGCCTGTAATGTCGTCCCCCAGCGACCAAATTCTTCAGATAATGAGGTATGTTACACATTTTATCTTTCGGATGCCTTTTCAAGGAAAATTTCATGACACCGCATTCTCCCACTTTCTCATCTGTCTCATAGATGAGTGAGGCTGGCTAAAGCACCACTGCTTGGGCCAGACCCTGTCCCTACTGAATAACAAAGCCTTTAGTCAGGTAAGAAGAAAAGTGATCTCGAGTTGCCACTCTGTACATCATAGGTTTTATCTCCTCAGTTGTATTCCCCTCTCTTCATCTTACCTTTTTTTTCCTCTCTTATTTAGAATGATGAATAATTACCTTGGTAACCGAGAAATGAGCTAACTGTTATTATTATTATTTTTTTTTTGACAAAGTTAATAATTAGTAATTAAGTTAAGAATCGTTAGCAATTGAAAATTCAATCCTAAAATAGATGATCTCTCACCTCCTTGGTTGAGGCGTGCGGCTCGTCAGGTCGCACGATGGAGTTCAAGCTAACTGTTATTTATTTATCTTTGTTTTGGGTTATACATAAACTATTAGATTCAATGCTTAAAGTCTTGTATTTGTTTGATTCATATATTGAAGTAATCTTTTTTAATGTAAAAATTGAAGATGGAGCCCTTTTTTATTTTTTATTTTTATTTTTGTGTGATCATTTGAAGATGACGCAAATTAATGTTATATTTTTTAAATATCTTCTTATTTTTGTTGTATTTCGAGAAGATCTTCTTATTTTTTGAAAAATTATTTTTATCTGCAATTTCAAAACTATTTCTTATTCATTTCTATTTTTTAATATTTTATACGCGTTAATGATTTAGTATTTTTTTGCAAATGCTACAACTACGCTAAAATGTTCAGATCTGTTTTTGCGTAATAATTCAAATTTATTTGATGGCATGGAAATCCCATTTTTATTGTGGTTTTGCTTGCAGATCAGGCGAGCCCTTTTATGCTGAAACAATAGCTGTATTGGGCCTGCTATTAACAGCATTCACGCCTTTGATACAACTTGGGCCCCCCTCTCGACCCTTGCATGCTTTCATGTTGTCAGTATACTGTGCAATGATGGTGTTGTGTGCTACAACACTATTTGCCGGTGTTAGCCTCAGAAGAGGAGATCGATTCAACTCCGGCACACGCCACTGGAGTCAAATTCTGAGGACGATCTCCATCCTGTCCGGTTCACTGGCGATAATCTCACTACTTTCAATTATCCAGCTATATGTTGCGTTGGTCTCGTTACTTGTGTGGCTCCTGCTTACTACACACCTTACTAGCAGCTTGATTCAGGACTTAAACCAACCGCTGATACCATCTACTACCAGTAACAGAGTAGCAAATTTCACCAGCACAATGTCAGAATCTATCAATACGGTATTTGGTATGATGAAAAATTGGGCAACAAACTTGTTTCAACAGTGTACTGCAGGAATTCCAGTGATCAACATAAGGAATCTATTTGATCGTCGCATCAGTGGCACAGCAAGAGGCATGGTCCGACTACCTGTTTAAAATCAATTTCAGATGTAGTGTATGTGTATCATTTCATAGGATGCATCAGAATGTAACCCTTGTGTTTGTAATTTTATAGCAAAGTTGTCCCGAATGTCCTAATGGTTAAGAATTTGAATCTTCATATTGAGATGAGTTGGGAAAAGTTTGGAAAGGAGAGGGTTTAATCTAAAAACAACATACAAATGATTTCCAACAGAATATATATTCTTTGCCACATATAAATGAGAATACTTACAAACATGTTCCATGTAGTTCAATATGCAAATTGAATATATATCACATTTTGGCTATATGAACAAATCATGCTTCAAACCAGGGAACTTCACTATAAGTTGAATCTGTACATGTCCTCTTTCAAGCATCTTAAATTATGCAAGTATATATAGTTCCTAGCATATTACCTTATAACCAAGAAATGCTAGGCCAACGGACTCCACAGCTTCCATTCTGGCAAGCGTTCATCCTACAAATCCCTGGAGATGTCAAACTACATCTGAACTACAGTAATCAGAGCTGCCACCAAACTGAACGATTTATTCTTACACCCTTGGTCAAGCGTTGCACTCCCAAACAGAATGCCTACACCCTTGGTCAAGCGTTGCACTCCCAAAAAGAATGCCTATAAGCCAACTAACCAGCACCTAAAGGTGAGTGGACAAATGTTGAGGGTCAGCTAATGATCATCTTGTGAATTGCGAAGTTTCATTAGCTTGTCTCTCCACATTGCTGCAACAACCAATAGGCAATTATAAGTCCGTTTTAGACTGTAAGAGCAACAAATGCATGAGTGATAAACAGAAAGGAGAACTCTAGCATTGAAAGAGGTTGCTGGGGACAAATGAACCAAAATAAAGAAGGGAAAAAGAAAAAAGAGAGAGAGAGAGGAGAAAATAGGGATGGAAAAAAATCAGTATCTTAAGCAAACTCTTAATATTCCTATTCTTGTTACCTGCATCATCATATCTTTCCTCTTTGACGGCTAAATCAATATTTCTAACCAACTCCAGTTCTCCAGACAGTAAACCTGGACCATCTGCAGCACTGGAAAAGATACAGCCAGCTGTTAGACTACTGTAAGATATGTGATAAGGGGAGACAATATGGAGGAACTGTGGACAATACCTGTCAAGGAATACATCATAAGTAGGCTTTCTATCATGCACTCTGTCTATTCTAGCATCATCTGCCAAGACATTTGCTTATTTACATATATTGGAGCCAGAATACAACAAATTTCACTCAAGAGCTTAGGAGAAGCTAACAGCTAATCTAAGCTATAACACAAGTGGATGCAAAGCTGAGAGGACAGGAGGTAAAAGGCTAGGGGGTAGGATGAGTAAGAGAGGCAGATTGCAAGGCATATTGCTAATTGCAGTCCAAAAGAAGATAACTTTTGAGTATGCTTAACAGAGATGAAAACTCAATAAGCTGATATAAGTATCACAATATCATGGTTCATTAAAATAACTAAACTAGCTCAGTAAAATCAAATCAAGCCAGGATATTTTTTAACCTTGAAAGTTGGAACTGACATTATATGTGAAGCGAGTCAAATACAGCAACTACCATTTGAAGTTTTAATGTTATAACTGAGCTGTTAAAAGTTCATACCTAGCATCTGTTAGCTAAGTTTATGGCATCTGAGGGCGGTGCATTCACACTTAGAATATCAATTTGCCCTGGTTGCGAATTGTAATAACAGAAGGTTAATTATGTTCATCTATTTTGAAGATGAAAATGATATGCAGTTAATAAACATCTTATCACCTTTCCCATGTATAATTTTGCAAAGCAAGCATTCATCACTCTTTTAGTAATCATGCAGGCAGGACAATTTCAATTCAAAGAGTCAAAACGCAGTAAATGTGGATGGTTTCCTTCAACAAAGTAAGTTATCAACTTATTCCAACACCAATAATCATACAATTGCAAAGGCATGGTTACATGTCAAAGCTAATACTTTCAAACTAGATCTTTAAATATTTCAAGAAGAATCATCGTGGAAAACATTGAATGGTTATCATCAAGGCAGTCATCTTTCAGGGTTGTCTAGTTATTCCAAGGCTAAAGCCTGTCAAAGCAAAGATGAGTAACTGTAACTCCAATTAGATGTTAAACTAAATAAGCTAGGCAGTGATTAAATATATATCCACTACCATCATTATACAAATAATTATCCTTTCTTTAGTTCACACCTTTTGTATTAATTATCTCCATAGATTTCAAACAACTAATAGATATTATGGAATCCAAAAAACCAAACTGAGTAGGAAACAGACAAAACTTAAGATATAAGCATGTTTTAAATTTACGGGAAGATTAACTCCATGCTTCATAACCTAGCTTTTCCACAACATCTTTCACAAACTGGAATAGATCTGGAGAATCCTTCATCATGTTTCTTGGAATCAATACTATAAAGATAACAAAATTAACAACAAATACAATAATTTTTAATGAATTAACCCATTATCATCTCCCCACAAGGCCTCTATAAGTCTTTCAATAGCATAATCCCTTGCAGTAACAGATGATTTATAAAGTTAATCGCATATAGATCCAGCCAGAACCAATAATCAGGATATTCGAAAAAGTACATGGATTGTGCAAGAAGTTGTCCATATAACTACAAGATTCAGCAGCAAGAAATCTCCATCACAAGAAATCATAAAGTTTTCAATTGTGTGTAAGGCATCTGGTTACTTTAGTAGTTTAGGTAATCATAAAGTTTGCTCTTAGATATTTTAACAAAAAAAACTTTATATTCGAAATCTTCATTTCTTAAATTGCCCTATAATCCCCATCGTATTGCAGGCATTTTTTTTTTTTTAATCTGCAATAATGTAAGTATTCTACAATGTTATGGAGTGAGTTGTGGGATAAAGTAATAGTTTGTGATTTAATTAAAAGTCGATCTTATGTTTGAATTTTCAACAATAAAGTGGATTTTCATGCAGGGTACATTGTGTTGTTGTAGTGATTGTTGCATCTTCATGTTACATAAATGTAATATTCACTGTAAACATGCTTATTGTGAGATGTTTGATAGATTATAACATAATGGATAGGCAATATATATTTGTTTGCCAATTTTTCTTTTATTATTGCAACTTGCATGGACTATTGCTGTCTTGGATCTTTGACCATGTGTACAATCGTTGCTACAATGGGGAGATTGCAAGTTTCCAAGTCTATGATCCCTTTTTTTAAATTAAACATGGAGAGAGCATTAAATTAGTACAATTTTGCGATTAACTCCCTTTCTTGTTTCCGTGTGTCTGCAATGCATTAATATCTTTTTACCCCGTTTTTATTGTTATTATTTTTTATTTTGTTATAATAGAGAATATAATAATAAATTACCCTGTTTGGTTGCACAATAAGAAAACATAAATTCCTAAAATTCATGCAAGTCAGATTCTAAAACTCCACCTTAAGCCTAATCTTCTGAATATCTTTATAACACCATAT